TTACTTAGAGTTAGCATCTCGTCGTTAAGTGCTAGATTAGGCACTAGTCTAGGACTCTATACTAGTCTGCTAGTACTAGCCTAAGATTAAGAGTAATTATAAGATATCTTAAATCTTAATTAGGTATCTTATTATTAATCCTCTAATCTACTAAATCTATATATAGTTAAAGTATTATATAGAGTTAGGATCTATACTTCTCTATTCTAGTCCGCACTAAGATAGGCGAGTATTACGCTAGTGTTCCGTGAAAGTTGTCTGGCGATGCAGTGGAGTGGTGTGCTTGAATAGAAGGTAATAAAGGTTTGATAACTATTAATCTATATCGAATAGACTAACGAGTAATAATCTTATTAAGTAAAGTAACTAGTAAGAAAGTATAATTTGAGTTGACCACAACGAGAGTAATAATGAAATCCATCCATCCTTATATCCTCATTGCTTCCAGTCCTGGCTTCACGGTCCTCACGAAATAATCCTTGTATCTTCTGAAGTCCCTGAAGACACCTAGTCACGTGTGAGAGTGTCCTCACATACTAGCGCGGAATACTTGGTCTTGGCGTGAAGCCAATCACGTGATCCTCGCCCCGCGATGATCATTACCTTCTGACGTGGACGTCCATAGGCCTTCAGCCATCTCGTCATTTGTCAAGGAGAGAATCCTTCTTGTTACTTGTAACATAGAGGCAGAAAGGATAGTTATAGAGGCTAGCCAGAGCCAGGCCGGCGTGCGATGTCAGCGCGCGCCGCCAACGTGCACGAAGTATTACGTTTAAGGATATATTTAGACTTTATATAGAACTAGATAATTAATTATATCCCTTAACATTACATTATTTTATCGCGTTATTATATAGCAATTGCGTAAAGAGTCGCGTTAGGTTAGGTAGGGTGGGCCACTTATTAGTGGTGCACGTTATAAGGATGTGCTTATAAAGGCCTGCGTACGAGAGCTTAAAGAGTAATTAGCTAAAGTAAAAAAGCGCCGAGGGCGTAAAAGAAAGCGGATTTAGACAGGTGGGACACTAGACTTTAGTGTAGAGGCATCGCAGGCAGTTGAAAGTGCTTCTACTAATTACAACGATGTTACAACTCCGCTAAGTATCGAACCTATTCCCGATCTGGATTAGAGGAAATATCCGCTGTCCCCTTTATTAGCTAATTGTTCCTAGTTAGATCTAATTTAGATCTGATTAGGACGGGTATATGTAGAGACACTCCCTATAGCTAGCTCTATAGACTTTTAATATCCTTTTATATAAGGCCTATAGGTGTCTATTCGAATTAAGGCTCGTTTAATATCCCACGCACTGCTATATGCCTCTAAGTAACACTACTGCTGATACTGATCTGACTAGTCTTGCCTGCGCCGTTACAAAAACCATAGTGCATTCTAGCACTTTATCAAAATGAATCTATATTTTGAAGTTTAACCACTATATTTTAATCATTTGCAACCACGTAAAAATACTAGAGTTAAAGATTATCTTGTGGTAGATCATTGTTTGCCAGTCATTTGGTATTGCGCATTGCTGCGACTTGTGGCGTTGACAAGACATCTGGTGCGACTTCTAATATACATGATGTATGGTATTAAATGTACATTTCCACCAAGAGTTTTCTTTAAGCAACAGATCATCTGTCTGGTATTGAGCCTGAAAGACATCTTCTATGATGAGATCTTAACCCCTAAAGGAGTCACAAGCGCATCAACATTCGAAGTAATGTCAAAAAAGGGGAAGGATGACCGGTTCCCACCGATACTGGTATCGTTCGTGTCGGCATAGAAAAACAGACTGATGTAGAGCGACTGGGCAATCTCGACTGTTGCGCTAGGAAAGCTACGTGCGGCACGAGGGTCATTATTTGGGACTCGGCCGGCGTATTGCGCAGACACCCAGTCATCCGTAGACGTAAAGACAGTTATCGAGCCTGTGCTTCCTAGAAAATTTTCAGAACAGAGCAAGACATCGCGATTTGGATATCGAGACGGGTTTAGTAGCCCATCACAGGCGATTTTAGTGTAGTCTGATGGAAGCCTGGTTATTGTGACATTTTGCGGAATGCCTACAGCTGCTTTTGTATCAAAGGTGACAAAAGTGCCAGCTGGTCCATCTGTCACAATAAGCTTGTTGCTAGGCGTATGGAAAATGAGACCGGTGTAGGTAGTAGGGAAGTATGGAGGAAGAGTTCCAATCTTGTTCGTCGCGTACCAGGTGCGCACTTCCCCGTCAGCTGTGATCCTAGCAAGTGCTTTGGCACCAAAAGAAGTAGGGACGTAGTGATACCCCTGACTGTCTGTCGCTATGTCTTGGATACCATTAGTAGCCAATCCAGTCTCTCTCTGCACGGTAGCCAGGAACTCTGTTAGATCTGCTTTAAACACGACTTTCTTAGTTGACGTGTTATAACTAATTATATAGTTAAGACCCGTCGAGTTGGCCCCTAAAGAGGCAAAAGGGGTAGGAGAATTCACAACGAAGAGTATCAACCCTGTTTTTGGGTCAAAATCAACCCCAGACACATGGAATTCTGCATTATTGGAAATCCCCGGAAAGGTGATAACCTCTTTAATAGTATGAGTATAGGGATTGTAAACTGTGACTGTTGCGTTATAGTTATCCCTAATGTATAGATCTATTAGTCATTTCACTTAACACATTTCTATTAAAGCAAGTTAAACGAACCCGAAATATACTTTGCAGTGTTTAGAATCAAAATCGAGGTTTTCGGGGTAGAGATATGGCTGGTCCACTATAAAAGTACCACTAAATGGCGGGCAAGTGGCCTTGGTAATGGTGGCCTTGCAGAGCAAAGCAAGTACTAAGGAAAAAATAAAGCCTAAAGAAGTCATGGTTAGACAAGGAACTCAGGTGAAAGCAGGAGCTGTAAAGTTTTGTGACCTTTTTAGAAAATAATGTATTAAGGCCTTCTCTCCCAGCTTTTTATATTCAAGAAGTGCGCCGGAATATCCGGAGACGGCAGATTAATTTATGGATTAGTTATCTTCCTAAAATATTATGGGCAGGGGGTCATCCCAGGAATGTACTTGATGGCCGTCTAGCGAGATGTTAAATTGCCTAGACTGTAAGTGCAGGCGATTTAGATATAAAATACTACACCCAACTATTTTTCTTAACGGTTATAGGAGTATATATATGTTATAAGCGTTGCGCAATTTCCATACGTTGAGTAGATTCATGAAGGTTGAACCTTTTCCAGTCAACGAGGTGTGCAAATGTGAATGTCTAGATTAGGACTAGTAGGTTGCATTATTTATTCGTTATTTCATGGACTAAGCAGCTAGGTTCGCCTAAGGATATTCTTAAGGTTTAGATAGTCTTGAAAGGACCGAAAGCATGAAAGGCCCGAACTCCTGCATTTGTAATATAGTATTCATAACGTGCGGGATTAGTTAACGTGCGGGATTAGT